AGTTTTTGATGAATTCACCACTATGCTGGATATCTTGGATTAGTAGAGTGCTTTTTACTATTGGCGGCCATTTTGGATTTAATGCACCTAAAGAAGCAGATATGGATGCTGAATTCATACTGTGGTGTTTTTAACCTTTATATGATATTTAAGCCATTTAAAGACTATATACTTGAAGATTTAAGTAGAAGCTGTATTTTTGTAGGCCATCTTGGATTTGGCGGCCATTTTTAAATTTTCGAACATGTCCATACATCCAAACTTGCTCAGAATTTCATTTTCCACAAATGTGCCAAACGTTTTGCTTGTAGTTTTAAGTGCATGATTAATTCACCATTCTAATGGGTATCTTGAATAAATGGCCTGCTTTTTTACTTTTGGCGGCCATTTTGGATTTTATACACCTGAAGGATTTATACCATGAAGGATTTACACCTGAAGGATTTTAACCTTTATATGATATTTTAAGTTATTAGAAGACTATGTACTTAAAGTTTTAATTTTAAAAAGGTATTTTGGCGGCCATCTTGGATTTGACGGCCATTTTGGAATTTTCAGACATGCCCATATATTCAAATATGGTTAGAATTTCATTGTCCATAAGTGTGCCATATTTCATGCTTGTAGGTAAAAAATGCACAATTTTTCACCAAATTCCTGGACTACTAGGAGTCTTTTACCTCTGTATAGATGAATTTTTTTGGGGGGAAATGTCAACAATTTACCCATAATCACCAAGGTACTTCATAGCCAAAGCTGCTCATAAAATTATCAATAAACCAGTTTATGTGATCCGAGTTTCTCATTTTAATATGGAGATGGAAATTGGTGAACTTCATTTGTGAAGGAAAAAATCAAAAATTAAAGAAAATGGCTACTATACAGACAAATTCACATTACCCAAATAATTTCCAAAGGCTTCATTGATGACCACTTGGTACTTGAAGCTGGAATGAAATGTGTAATTTTAATAACTAATGATAAATAATAATTATAATGAAAAGTTAGATATTAACTTTATTGATTAACTAGTTAATAAACAGTTAATATAAATGAATATTGAGTGGCCAGGGCAGGTCTGTGCTCTCTGAGTGCCTTTCTAATTGGTACTTATTCTCTCATTCATTTTGTTGAAATAAAATGAGACATACCATGTGTTTAAAATTTGTTCAGATAGATTATCTGAGTGCTTCCTGAATATCTTTCAATTAAGTTTTGCCTTTTCCTCCGATTCCATCATCCGCTTCAACAACTTTTTTGTCAGTAGATCTATTGAAACCAGGTGAATAGAATACTGGAAAGCAAGCTCTACAGTAAACAAAGAAGTCAGCATCTAGTCATCTAGCTGCAAAAGCCCTATTGTCCATCTGAGCTCTGAATGAAATTTTTAAAAAACGTCAGCTTCGAATGCCACAGACTGAGATATCAATTGCAATGAAACCGCACATAGAGTTAGTTCGTCCAGTCCATTCCGGCATCAGACTTCACTTCCGACAATCACATTTTACCAAAAATAGCGGCAGGTCCGTTGCCGACAGGATTTCCCCGTGGCCAACAGCCAACTACATCCTTATGGGATGTAAACGGCTTCCTAATTTCAAGGTTGATTCAAAATTGACCCAAAAGAGCCCTCCTAACGTAAAAACTGACAAAAGACAACTTTGAACGGCAAGAAATCTGACCTGCACTTAGTGATCAAATACTGTACGAGGCTTTGGTGAAGGAGGCCTCTTGGTAACACTAACAGTAATCCTCAAGTCACATTCAACCTACCTAGCTCCTTACTGGCCTTTTTGATATGGGAATTGTTTGCGAGTATCTTATGTCCTCAAAATACAACAAAAATTGATTAAAGCCACTCCTTTCCTTGCCCAACGCGGCAAAGGCAGCTGCGTGTGAATTTATACACAGCGCTGAGTGATAGCTTCTCAAGAAACTGACCAATCAGAGCGACAACGGCGTTTACAATTTTCCAAGAAACCGTTTATCTCATTTAACGTTCACTTACGGTTCTCAATCTATTCTAGAACATTTGGTGTATTTTTTTATTTTTTTATTTTTTTTTTTTTTTTTTTTTTTTTTTTTTACAGTTCCTATGTTGTTCTGTGATGAATGTTACAGTTCGAGAACTGTTTTTTGAGAAGTCCTTCATAATGTCCCATAACAGATTTAGAACATTTTTTATTAAGAGAGAAAAACATTATGTTCTAGGACAGGTTGACAACCGTAAGTGAGCGTTAAATGTAACATTTTCGCAGGCGAGAAGCCCCGGCGCCCAGCATGGCAAAAGTTGCATCGGCAGTGTCCGAAAGGAAGAGAAATATTAAAATGTAGTGGCGGATGCAGGATTTTGGTTTTTGATATTTCATACTCCATAAAAATCAAATAAGACCTCTGAAATAAAAGAGTCTGATGGCGATATTTCCTTCTCAAATATTAAACGATGTGAATGATTCAAGGTAGACCCTACTTATTTAGAAATTGTAAAAAACTGAATTTGTTTTGTGAAAAACAGACTGCACGAGTACGGTTGTAACAAAAACTGAGGGTCCGTGTATTCGATCACTGTGAGAAAATTGGATTGTAGCCTAGTTTTAAGTTATCTTTTATTACCTTCACCCAAAAGGTCATGTGTTTGGTTCCGTTCGTCTCTTGGCAACACTTTGGAAAAGTTGTGGATTGATTTCCTAATTTTTTCGGAAACTATCCAGAGGAGACCAAGTAACAAACGAGTAGATTTGCAGTAATTAAATCTCTTCGACTGTAATCAACACTACGCAAAGAGCTAAGGAGGGAATTTAGTGAAATTTCGGGATAGAAATGGGCCAGATGTTTAAGTCTATCGATTTATTTCTTAATTTTGATTGTAATGGGTTATGTAATTAACAATTATCAAAAATTTAGCAATTAGTGGATAAATAAATGATTAATAATTTTGAGAATTGATTTAATAAATTGATTAATCAACTTATTAGTGAATGACTGTGGTATAAAGCCCCCTTTTCAAATTCATCTTGTGAGATTATATCTAAATATTTGTAGTTGCCTGATAAAAAATGGAAATATGTAGTATCAACGGCGGATTTAGGGGATTAGGGGGGTCCTGACCCCCTCCCCTCCGATTTCTAAAAAAAACCACACCAACGGTCTCCTCCTGAAATTAGAATTTTGTCTAGCTGAATCATAGTTCTAAACCGTGCCAATTAAATAGCACCGTTCGCCCTCGTTCGTTAGCACCGTTCGCCCGCGTTCAGCGGGTTTGCATTCGCGCCCCCCTTCAAATCCCCCTTCAAATTGTGCTCATATAGCTCATATAGCTACAATAATAAAAAAGATTTACCTACTTCATTTGTAAACCAAGCAAACGCGCCCCTGTTCTTTGTGTATACTCTGCTCTTTTGTCAACGTAATCTTTCCACAGCAATATGATGTACGATAAACGCCGTCGAAATTTTAAAATAACATTGCTACATAAAGTTTCAACAATCACTTCCACAAGCAGCAGCTAAAGTAAAGGTGCATTCATAACAAGTTGATCCGCGGACTAACAGATCACGGATAAAATATGACCGAACCACTTGAAAGCTTGCTGCATAATTCCCTAATAGACAATTATGGATTCCTCGCGGGGATTAGACGGTAAGGTTTCAAGTGGGTTGGCAATATATGACCCGCGAATCTGTTAGTTCACAGGAGTTTTCTGCCAACGTGACTGTTGCTTAAGTCCAGTTTGATGGTGAGCTAGTAAACGCTGGTGGACAGTTGGAGTCGTTTTTATAATCCAGGATGTAAGAGACCTTTCCCATAGACAATTCGGCCTACGTGGATCGGTTCAACTCTGCGGGAACTCTCGCTAAGTCTCATCATCTTAACAAATTATCCCCTCCCTCTGCTGACGTTAAGAAGAATACAGAAAAGCTGGTGATTATAAGAACAAGGTAAAAGCAAGAGGTGTGGCATTCAATTAAACTGATTGCACTTAGCAGGAAACCCCGCAGAGTTGGGTCAATCCACGTAGACCAAAGGTGTGTTTATGGGAATGGGGTCTAAGTGTCTGCGTAATTATTAGCGTCGTTTACTACGAATATTTACTCCGCAGCGATAGGTGGCAGAAATAATTGATGTAATTAATTTAAACATTTTCTGTCCACTCTATAGGAAACTAGAGATGAGGTGCTCTGACCGCCATTCATGTCGAGAAAATTAGTTTCTAAAAAGTTCTTGGCTGTAAAATTTTAATATGGAGATCAAAGCAGGAATAATACGTCTTACTTAATTCGGTAAATTGCAGCATTTCACAGACTTCGTTTGGGCATATGGAAAAGTGTACGGCTAGGGAGTGGAGAGAAGAACCTGAGTGGAATCAGATAGCGCGAACAGATTCTTTGCATGACTCACAGACTGTCAGTGCTTTAATTCAAATACAATAATTCATGGTAGTTGAGTTTAAGAACAGGCATGAGAGAGGGATGGAATGGAATGGAAAAAACTAATGCCACTACTATATTCTAAAACTCGGTAGGGATAGAGCTGGTGTCGGAGAATTGAATGAGAGAGAGAAAAGCCAAGCTCGGTGTCAGGCGTCACAGTGGCATACACACCGCCAATCAAAGAAACAAATGCGTCTTTATTTCATAATACTTATGAACTGGTAGCATTATGTGTCTGATAGTACCTCAATTGTTTGCAAATCTCTCCCATAAGTGGCAAAAATTTGGCCAGGATATGTATAATTGGTATATACTTAATGGCTGCCAATTATAAAACTTGTCAGCTTGATGGAATAGTACAAGATATATCCCCGAACAAACATTTAATTCAATCAATCTTTGATTTAAAATTTCCATCTTTAATATCATAAACTTACTAGAAGTTATTTTGTACAAAATAGCATAGAAAAAATTACAGAAGTATAAGCTGTATTTTTTGTCATCATATCCTTAGTTTTACCTCTTCTTGACATTTCCCAAGAATGAAATGAATATGACCATGTTCTTTCATAAGCAATTATTTATTTTCACACATCCCACAAAAATGCAATACATCATAGAAGGTGGCACATACTGACCGTGCTACATACTGACTCTTGTGTTTGTTCTCATTTTTCAAGTAATTTAAAGATCTGAAAAGAAAAGTCAACAATTGTTGGTCGTCCCTGTATAAAACTGTTGGGTTAACAAGGGTGGAGCATATGGATGGAGTTTAAAGTCACTTTGTGCTTTATGATGTAACATTGGTGTATGCAAGTCAAATATTTAACCCAAAATTATGTATCAGGTAGGCTATAGACATGAAGACCTTGATCCTGCAAGAATTTGGATTAGCACAAAGGGAACATCCCATTTCAAATGAGCCCATGGTGGATATCTTGATAATAATAATAATAATAATAATAATAATAAAACTATTTTCTCTCCAAAGACCATTAATTCACATTATTTATTGTGAGAGTTCTAGGACTTTAATGCGAACAGTTTTGCTATAGCAATGACCCTGAGATTGCTGTATTGGAACATCTGTTTCTAATGGCTGGCAAAATTCTACACTTTCGTAGAGGTATGGCGATGACAATAATGATTCCTGCTGTTAGAATGAGACACACCACGGCAATAGTTGAGACTGTGAAAATTGTTGACATTCTGGATTTTGGTCTAACCGTCATTTTTTCTGTAATAAAAAATACTCGTTTTAGTTATTTTCACAGAAGACCATCTGTCTTTTAAAATATGGTCCCTGAAAGATTTGTAACATTTCATTTATTAAATAGTTACAAAGAAGACGCATTTAACTTAATTTTTATACTTGAGAATTGGGAAAAATTAGGTTACAAGGCACCTGATAGTGTTCATAAGTCTCTTATTACCTTCATTGTTACTGAAAACATTTATGCTAGGATTTTTGGTGACAGAAACTTGTAAGCTAATAGCAAAATGCACGTTTTCCTTGGTCACCCATCTCTTTTTCCTGTCAGCTAAAGAAATCCTTTTCTCATGGAATGGACAGCTGTCAGGACCCTGAAAAAAGTTACATATAAACTCAATATCGTGCATTTGATAATGATTTAAGGACAGACATTCAAATATCTTATGTAAAACAATGCAAATGTCATTTTCACAAATTAAATTTCTGAGTCTTTAAACTAGAGCAAAACTGGGTGAATTATTCTGTGATAATTTTTCCAATTGCCTTGGCTATAACTCGTAGCCAAGGCTACAACTGTCCATTGGCTACAACTGTCCATTTCAGAAAGCTAATGATTAATGGTTATACTCTTGACAACTGGTATAATGTCATAAAGTCAGAATTTATCTTATTTTCATCATTCAGTAATTTAATCTGACTATGCCAATATGTCTTTACATGTGTATTTAATATATACAATTCTCCATGGGTTGCCAAATTATTTGATGATAATAACGCTTAATGTTACAAATGCATTCAAGTAAGAATTTACCAGATAACACCTTTGATGTTGTGAGGTGCAAAATCCAATCTCACAGTTGAAATATAGTGTTTCTTTATCTGGAAATTTGAAACACTTGAATGAACCACTTTCAATAGTTTTTCCTTGGCCCAGCTGGCCGTGAAATGGGGCATCTATGAATTGCCCATCATCAGGACAGCTGTAAAAATATTAGACATAACATTGATATTTCAGCCACAAACTTTTACAGAAATATGAAAAATGGGAATCTTTGTTTACTTGTTGCTAAACAACTTGAAATTACTTCCAAGAAAACATTTGAATATTTAATAACTTAAAGAATTTTGAATATTTCTCAATATTAAAATAACTTAAAGAATAAAACCATTTTACAATTTTTACTTGTAGAGTTTCATAAAGTTGCCGTTAATTTAATTCAACTAGAG